AAGGTAGAATTGGGATCATGACAGTGAGGGGGAAGAAGCATTTAGGAACTAGAGGAAAGTTGTATGCTACATCCTTGCTATACTGCACCCTGACTGGCTCTTCTCCTCCGCCATTAATGTAATATTTGTAAATTTACTAAGTTGGATTCTTCTAGATCTTCTTTGGTATATAATTCTTCTTTGTAAACCATCTAAATTGATTTTTTTTTTTTGCAGAAATAATGTGTCTAATTTAACGACAATACAGGACAATTCCTAGAATGGTTACTTTTTAACCAGGTCTGTGAAGTACATAGGATAGTGTGTATTTTTATAAATGTTCTCCCTTTTTACTACTTATCTACATGGGATATGTCAAGTCTATGTGGAGAAAAGGGAATGATCTTTTGCTTAGTGGCACTAGAATTGATTGTGGATGAAAAGTCTCCTTTACTCTCTTTTAAAATTGAACGAAAAAGAATCTCTGCTGTTAAATACATGAGTCAAATAGTGTATGAGTCTGAGTCATCTGGACTATTCATCGGGAAAATTCCTGCTTCTGCTTTTATGGGAGCTGGTTGATTTGTTACTGTGTGAATGTAGAAGAGCCTCAGCATCATTGATCAGCACAAGACACACACACACACACACACACACACACATCAAACTTGCTGACTTTGTGCGTTTGGCAGTTGATTCCAGTACGTGATGGATATAAAAGTGCACTATGAGCTTGCATCAGCTCCTATGTCAGTGAATATTTCCATTCAAGAAAGATGATTAAGGGGCTACAGTTTTTCTCAGTGTTTAATCAAATACACAACAGTTGCTGAAAACGTTCACACTATTCATCATGGCATTTTCTTCGTAGAAGTTTAATTGGTAAAGGACATAAACCTTTTAGAAGTCTTGGTGAAATTGGCATAGTAGCAAGTGCTCTAAGACCTAAGTTAGCATGTCCATTTCTCTTCTTTAGGAAGTATCCCAGAACTATGGGGGGAAATAGCAAAATTGAATCAGTTTGGACTTCTGCCTGCAATCCCAATATTAATGTCCATTTAATTGGTTTTGGCCTTATGGAAGAATTTTTCCCCAAATTTGATATGAAACCAAATTTCCTTGAACCAAATATATTTAGGCTTACTAGGTCTAGTCCATGAATGTTGTTAGGTTCTCTTGGGTTGGATCTGAGTCACATTGACTTAATGTGTGAGACAAGGAAACACTGCCCAATTGTGCACCAGCCTCACAAGTTTTGCTATGCTTGAATCTTTTGTCACAGCCACCATTGTTACCACAGCTACTTTAGGACCTGCCTCTTATTTTGCCAGCCCGCTACTTTGACCTCCTTTATCTAGGGACTGGTCTCTTCTAATAACACGTCTGAAATATGAGATCGAGTATCACCATCCTTAT